TAAAAGATATTGGAAATAACCAGAAAACTCCTGCTTGCTTATTATGCACAAATCCACATTGCATAAAATTTTAATTGTATTCATTGTCCTTTGGGAAAGTTGAAGTAGAATGAGATACAGTAAAGAGAAAGGAAAATAAAATACTCAAGGATTTGGAGGTATTCTTATGGAAGGACATTTAGTTTTGATTCTAAAAACTAGTTGTTAATTTTGAAATGGTAAACTTTGATTACATGCAAAATAAGGAGACTTTTGTCCAAAGTGGCAGATTGACTATATATCTCCTTTTTTGAAAACCCATTAAAATTATGTTAAACATATGAAAATGGAGATAAATCTGTAACACTGACAAAAACCAAAAAGATTTCTTTAGTAGGTGACGGATTCAATGCTTTTCCTGAACTCAACAAATGAAGGAAAAATAACTAATAAAGTAAGATGAGGGAAGTCACATACTGGAACAGCATTTTTCACCCTCAGCAGTATTGACATTTTGGACCAGATAAGTCTTTGTTGTAGGGAGCTATCTTGTGACTTGTAGGGTGTTTTGCAGCACTCCTGGCCAGTAGATACTAGATGCAAGGAGCACTCCTCCTTCCAGTGTGACAACCAAAAAATGTCTCCAGGAATTGCCAAATATCCTTTGGGAGACAAAACTGTCCCTGATTGAGAACCCCTGGACCAGACTATGAGTCACAGAAAAGCAGCCAAGAAGAAAGTCTATCTTGCTTTAAAAACTTTAGGAGAGACTCAGCACTTAGAAATACCAAATACAAAAAAGAAAGGACATGAAAAGGGATTACAAAAACCAGTCATATTTCTATATACCAGTAAAAACCAGTAAGAAAATGTTCTTTAAAAAGATACGAATTAACAATGACAAAAAAGAACCTCTAATATTAAATCTAACCAAAGATGCACAAGACCTTTAACAAAAACATTTTAAAGCTTTATTGAAATACAGTAAATATGTATAAATAAATGAAGATGTCAATTATTTCTCTAGACCTCTAGATTTGAAGCAAGCTAAATAAAAATTCCAATATGAAGGTGTGTGTGTGTGTGTGTGTGTGTGTGTGTGTGTGTATTACTTGATATGGAAAAGAAAAGGGTCAAGAATAACCAAGACATACCTGGAGAAGATGGTGACAAATTCAGGTGTACTGGGTTGAATGGTGGCCCCCTAAAAAGATATGTCTGTCTGGGAATATGTGAATGTGACCTTATTTGGCAGAGTCTTTGCAGATTCTACATTAAGGATCTCAAGATAAGACCAATGTGGGTTATCCAGGAACATCCTGAATCTAATGATTCTAGTCTAATAATCTAATGTCCTTATTGTACTGGAGAAACACAGAGGAAAAGGTCAAGATGGAGACAGAGATTGCAGCTATGTAGCTGCATGTCAAGGACTGCCTGAAGTTACCAGAAGCTGAAAGAGGCAAAGAAAGATTCCTCCCTAGTGCTTTCCAAGGGAGCCAGCACTGTTGATACTTTGATTTCAGATTTCTGGCTTCCATAACTGAGAGAATATATTTCTATTGTTTTAAGCCACTAGTTTATGGTAATTTGGTACAGCAACACTAGATAATTAATATAACAGGTATCAACACTTATTGTCAAACTATAGAGGTTAAAACATTGTAATATTGACACAATGCAAAACAAGCTGATCAATGGAACAGAATAGAGAGCACAGCAACATCCCAATTCACACGTGGAAACTTGATTTGTGGCAGAGATGGCATGGTAGATCATCCAAGAAAAGACGGACTGCTCAATCAGTGGTGCTAAGAGAAATGTTTATTCATATAGGGGGAAGAATGAAATTAAATCCTTAAGTCAAACACATATGCAAATATCAATTCCATGTAGAATAAAAAAGGCTTAAATGCAAAAAGGAAAAACGATTTTTTTTAAGACAGTGGTATCAGGATCAGAAAGGATTTCTTATACAAACACAAAGAATACTAATAATAATAGAAAAGAATGATGTATTTAACTATATTAAAATTTAGAACACTGTTCATTTAAATATATTATAAAGAAAATGAAAAGCCAAGCCACAAAATGGAAAAAGATTCATTTCCCAAAATGAAGGATTCATTTCCCAAAAAACGTTTCTAAGAATAAATTAAAAGACAAAAATATAATAGGAAATGGCATATTAACTGTATGTTAAGTAAAAAGAAAAAGAAAAAAAGAAATGGGCAAAAAATCATGAGTAGCTATTGATAAAGGACAAAATACTAATGGTTGATAACCACTGATGAACATTATTAATAATAGGGAAAATGCAAATTAAATTCACAATGAGTTACTATTATACATACATACATACCAGTTTGGCAAAAGTCAATTTTGTTGAAAATTTTGATGAAGAGGTAGGGCAACATGAATTCACTCCCTGTTGGTGGTGGTGTCAAATGTCTACAAACCCCCCGGAAAACCATTGATCAGAATCTGCTGAAGTTGAGTCTGAGCAAAACCTATGACCCAGCAAACCATCTACTTGGTTTATGACCTGGGGAGGCTCTTGCACATGCACTAGGAATGCATGCACTAATCTGCAAGGATGTTAATTAGCTGCATTGTTCATAATTATAAAAGTGAAAATAGCTGAAATATTTGTCAACCTTAGAATGAATTAATAAATAGCAGTATATTCTTTCTAGGGCATTCTACACTGAAGTGAAAAATAAATGATGTAGCTATAGTTACATGCATAAAATGGGAATATCTCAAAGACATAATGTTGAGGGAAATAATGAAATCACAGAAAGATATGATTATATTTACATAAATTTCAAAAGAGGAAAAATTGCATAATATGCTATTTGAGTGTGCATACCTCGGTGATAAAACCACAGAGTGATTAAATCCAAATTCAAAACAGTTTTTAACTATGAAGAAGAGAGAAAAAAGAACATATAGAGGTCTCAGAGGTACTGGTAAAGTTCTATTTCTGAAATTTGATGGTAGGTTCTTGGATATTCACTTTAAAATGTTTTACACACTTTCTAAAGCATAATGATATCCCAACAAAAATGAATGAAAGAAAAAATACCAAATACCAAGACATATCATTATGATATTTCAGAAAACAAAAATAGAGTACAAAAGTTTCTAGAAAAAGAATAGATTACTTAAAAAGAAACACAATTTCTCATCAGCTGCAGTGATAGAGTAATAAAAATGAAGCAAGGCCTCAGATGGTCTGAGGGGAAGTGATTTTTCAATGTACAGGTTTACATTCAAACTGTCATTTGAGTAGACTGTAGTAAAAGGATTTTTCAACATAAAATAATTCAGAAATGTTACCTCCCATGCACTTTTTTTCTTAAGGAAGGTGCTTGAGGACATAACCCACCATATCAAGGAAAATATGAGATGCAAGAAGCAATGGCTCTCATACACTAGAGCAGTCCTGTCTGGACCCAGGTTACCTCTCTGAAGTGGACCTAGAAAGCAACCAGTTCAAATTGAAGCAGAAAGCATAAAGTTTTGAGAAAGAATTAAAGAAATAAAGAAATAGTGAGACTTTGGACATATCTGAGGATATAGTAAAATGGTAGAGGACTTAAAATAAATGAGTGAGTTCTACTCAAAATTGCTTTTGGGAATATTCTCGTGTGGCAACCCAATTGTAAAAAGCACTGTTTTGTTAAATGACAAACACTATTTAAGTAGCTATGGAAATGAAAATACTATTCATTGGTTTTCAATATTTAGAATCAACCTATATAAAGATTAACTAAATAAAATGAATACTTTCCTACATTGTTAATATGCCAGAGAAAGACAAGTATGATGAGTGAAGGGTTGAAGTGCTAAAGTCATCTTTTAATTGAGCTAATCATAAATAATCATACTAATTCAGTCTTCTTTCTATAGAGCTATTACTTCACTGTTCCAGAATAACTCTCATAAGCTTTAAGGAGAACACTCTAGGCTAATGTACTGGGTTTTACTAAACAAATCTATGGTCTCCACAGACATGCTTTTCATGGGACAAAAAATGGAAGACTATTTGACTTTCTGCTATGACAGGTAAAGACTTAGCTTGTCTAACATACTCTGAAAATTAGAAATTAGAAATGCCTTGATGAATGCAGTTTTCAAGGGAAACCATGAGAGGCATAACTAGATTTGAGACTGATATCAAAAATTTTAGACACGGGAGCACCTGGGTGGCTCATTCAGTTAAGCGTCTTTCTCTTGATTTTGGCTCAGGTCATGATCTCAGGATGGGGAGATCCAGCCCTCACTGGGCTCTGTGCTGGGCATGAAGCCTGCTTAAGATTCTCTCTCTCCCAGGCGCCTGGGTGGCTCAGTTGGTTAAGCGACTGCCTTCAGCTCAGGTCATGATCCTGGAGTCCCGCGATCGAGTCCCACATGGGGCTCCCTCCTCCGCAGGGAGTCTGCTTCTCCCTCTGACCCTCTTCCCTCTCGTGCTCTCTATCTCTCATTCTCTCTCTCTCAAATAAATAAATAAGATATTTAAAAAAAAAAAGATTCTCTCTCTCCCTCTGTCCCTCCCTGCCTCACTCCCTCTTTCTCTCTCTCTCAAAAAAAAAAAAAAATTGCAGATGCACATTTTGTATGTGATGCTTTACATGCTTTTAAAACATAATAAATAAAATGATAAGGCAAACATGGCAATCATATATTCTTATGTTAAAAAAGTTTAAGGAAAATGAACCAGCACAGAAAATCAAGAATTAAAAATCAGAAGAATGTCTGTTTCAACCAACAGTTTTCTTAGTTGTTAATTCGTAGCCTACTCTAATCTATGTGCGTTTAATTGTATATAACATTATTCAAAATATTTTACATATATTGAGTTATTTACTCCTCACAACCATATGGCTTAGATATTATCTACATTTTACAGAAGAAGAGATTGAGGCATTCGGAGAGGCTAGGTTCTTATAGCAACCAAACTGAAAGTGAAACAGAAAAACACATTCATAAACTTTTAAAATTTCTATTAAGCTTACCATTCTCTCAATCTGATGACTCCTTTCTATAAACTCTTTTGAGCTTTTCATTCCATAATTTTCTTTGTATTTTATATTTGTGATTTTAAAAGAGGCAAGGTAATAGAATGACTTATCATCTGAAAGGTAACATAAACAAAAGATTCATGCTTAAATATAATGTTTTTTGCCCCCCAACCCCAGGAAATAGGTTTACTATAGTGCAGTTTATTTCTTCTTGGTACCAAAGTTATTGCGGACATTTTTCAAATATTTTGTAATTTTATCATTGTATCCAGCTAAAATAGAAAATTCAGGCCTCCAAGTACACTTTCAGAATACCTCTTTTACAGTGTTTATACATATCAAAATTTTCATACAATTGGACATGCAATATGGACAATAAGTATTGAAAGCAATTGCTGAAAGTCATGTAAAAATTATCAGTTTCCTCAAAGAATTGTAACATAGGTATATCTTAGGTAAGCTGTATTATGAAGATATATTGAAGAGGTTATCAGTTTTTTCCATGCTACTAATAAGTATTAGTATTTATTGTTTTATTGTTTCCACTTTTTGCCTATTCACTTCTCAATTCTCTGCAGTCTACTCTTGACATACCCCTGAAACTTCCATTGTCAAGGACAACAGTCGTAATATCGAATAGCTACCTTTTTTCCTTTCTTTTTTTTTTTTTAAATCTTGATTGTTTTGCAGCTTTAATCATATTCCCTGAAACCCCATCTTAGGCTTTGTGGAGCCATATTCTAACTTTCTTTCTCCCCTGGACACACCTTTTCAGTGACCTTGGAGAACTCTTTTTATTTCTGCTTATTTCCTTAGCAACCTACTGTTCTATCCTTGCCCTGTTCATGTAAATAACCCTTTCTGGGTGATCCTAACAGTGATGGCCTCAACCATCAACTATTTGCTGATGTTAAAAGATCAACTAAATTGGGGCACCTGGGTGGCTCGGTTGGTTAAGCGCCTGCCTTCAGCTCAGGTCATGATCCCGGGGTCCTGGGATAGGGCTCCCTGCTCAGCAGGGAGTTTGCTTGTCCCTCTCCCTCTGCCCTCCCCTCCCCCAACTCATGCTGACCCCCTCTCTTTTGCTCTCAAATAAATAAAATCTTTAAAATAAATCAACTGGGGCACATTTACATTTTCAAGAGTTTATTTGAGCAAATAGTGATTCCAGTTATGCAACACCAAACCAAAAGTGATTAGGAGTCTTCCACCAACAGGAGTGAGGGGAGATTTGTATAGAGAAGATGCAGAAGCAAAGCAAGGAAATTATTTGATTGCCTATAGCTTAAGCAGTTGCCTTATACTGGTTTTGGAAAAAAAAAGTCATATGAAACTCAGCACATGATGTGATTTGTCTTTATTCTAAAGATTAAGCTTTTCACTCTTCTTTCTCATTTTAAAACTATATTGCTTTTAAAGATTTTTATTTATTTGAGAGAGAAGGCAAGAGAGAGAGAGTGCACACTAGCAGGGGCAAGGGCAGAGGGAGAGGGAGAAGCAGACTCCCAGCTGAACAGGGAGCTTGATCCTAGGGTCATGACCTGAACCGGAAGGCAGATGCTTAACTGACTGAGCCACCCAGGCACCCCAAAACTCTTATCGCTTTTAGATGTGTCTATCCATGTAATAATGTTTATCGCAAGCTTCATTGGCTGGAAATATGTAACACTGAACTCAATACTGGAGCAAACAATAAGTTAACATCAATAAGAGATTAGTAATTAAAATTTTAATATCATGCAAATAGCATTTTTTATACAAGAGAGAATTTCAAGATATTAAGTCATAGAACACTTAAGCAATAGAAATGTGACCTGGATACTTACCCTCAACAACAAAATGAGTAACAATACCAATTGCAATTCCTATGATTGCTACAATTGCCAATGTGAAAAGAGCTACACGTATAGGATCCCAAAATTGCTGTCTTCTTTGATATTCAGCCCGTGGGTAATCAGCTTCTGAAAATTCAACTGGTCTGTGATAATAGAAACAAAAAGTAAGACAATAAGAAAGTCATTATGATTCCACTTTATGTCCACTTGTTATGTTCCTCTAAGAAAATAGTTTATACTGCTAACTAATAATAGGATACTTAGATCTTGAAAAGAACACAAAGCTTTAATTTGTATATGCTTTCCCAATACCCCAATCACAATATAAATTTTGGTTAAAGTTCTACCGATGTTGACATTCAAGTGAGAATATCTTCCTACAGCATTTTGTCTGACATATTGGCAATTTGAAATTTGAAGGGTGAAACACAAAGACTTACTTACTAAAAAGGTAATTTCTAAATAAAATTTTCATATTTTAATAAGGGCATTGCTAGCAACAGTTGTACAATAATCTCATCAATTCTACTTGATTAAAAATTAAAAAATTAATATGAATACTTTTTTAATGACCTTAAAATTTTTCTTAATGATTTCTTTTAAAAGTAGCAACATTACTTTCGAAACCCTGATCATGTTTTTTTGCATTTTTTAACACCTCCCAAGGAAATCACAAATTGTGAATTGTACTTGATAAGACTCTAGTCCCCAAGAAAACTATTTCCACTTGACTTTTACCTATCCCTACTCATGTATTACCTCCCCACTCAAAATATCTTGTTACTAAGATTATCATTTTCCAACTTGAAAGTTGGCATTTATTTACTTTATTTTCCAAATCCTTGAATAACATTCAATATTTAATATCTTGCAAGTGAGATACTTTTATGTTTTTATATTTTTAATTTTATTTAATAATATTTATTTTAAACTTTATTCATTAAATGAGATAATAGAAAGTTCTTAGAATAGTACCTACCACATTACAACAATTTCAGGAGCAGTTCTAGATGCCTAGAGATATAAAGATTTTAAGATATACTCTTTGCCTGTTAGAAACTCACTCTTTACAAGAAGATACAGATGTGGAAATAAGTAATTAATATATAGTATGAAATGTGAGAAAATAAAACTTGGTGCAAGAATAGAAAGTAATTAACTTTTTGGAGGTCTGTGTCAGGATATTTTATCAAGAAGGTGACATGATTAAACTTTGAGTGTTAAAAGTTCTCCAGGCATAAAAAAGGAGAAAAGAACAGAAAAAATAACATGTGCAACAAAAGGGGGGTGCTAAGGTTGTGAAACGGTATTCATTACTAATACAGTGGTCCCCTTTTTTTTCACCTGGGATATGTTCTGAAAACCCCAGTGGATGCCTGGAATTGTGAATAGTGCCAAACCCTATGTTTTTTTCTATACATACATATCTATGATAAAGTTTATTTTATAAATAAGGCATAGTAAGAGATTGACAATAATAATAAAATAGAGCAATTATAAAAATATTCTATAATAAAAGTTATGTATATATGGTCTCACTCTTTCAAAATACCTTACTGTGCTGTGCTCATTCTTCTTGTAATGATGTAAGGTGAAAAACGCCTATGTGATGAGATGATGTGAGATGAATGACATAAGCACTGTGACTAGCATTAGGCTACTACTACCTTCTGACAAGTCAGAAGGAGGATCATCTGCTTCAGGTTGACCATAGGTAACTGAAAAGACAGAAAGTAAAATCTCGAATAAACAGGGGGTGTGGGGGGTGCTACTAGAGTTAATACTGGGAGTGAAAATACTGCTTTTGCCCTCAAAGAATTTATGGTGTCCAAAGTATGTGCATGATTGCATGTTTTCTCGGCACTGCTGTACTAGAAAGAGGATATGCTAAGGCTGGTGGACTGATTGGGTCATGAGGAGTCCCATAACCCAAAGTAAAAAGTTTGAACTTGACTCTGCAGAAGATGGGGAGCCAATAAAAGTTTTAATCAGACTGAGAATTTAGAATAATCACAGGATGAGGATTAGAGCAGGAGTGCAGACAGGAAGACCAGTTTAGAGGTTATTTTGAAGATCCAGGAGAAAGATGGAGAGGATGGTGAGGACCTGAGCCAAGCCTGAAGCAGTGGGGTGGAGAGGAGATGGATTTAGCTCCAATTCTTGATTTTTGTTGGCTGATTACTTAGTTGTGGGATAAGGAAAGGATTAATGGCTCCCTTGTTTTGATGTCCAGGTAAATGATTGTGCCTTCTGGCAAGATGAGAAAGATGAAAGGAAAAGACAGTCATTTCAATTCAGACATCAATGTTGTTAATAGTGACCAATGTGCTGTCCTTACACTTGGGTCTGAGCCAGATGGAAAGTACCCGTTTTATGCCCTTTTCTCTTTGACTTATTTTATTTTAGCTGTGTCACTGACATCTGTTTGCATGACTCTAATAAAAGCAACTGTTAAGGTTGGCACCACATAGCCCAGAATAAACAAATTTATTAATATCCCCGTACACAATATCTCCTTCCTCACCCTAATTAAAGTCTCCATATACAAAATCTATGGTATTAAGTGTTCTTGATATTTAGATTGTGGATATTTTGGTTCATGCATTTTTTTCTCACTTCTTTTTTTCCTAAGTTTTGTCAATTTGGTTGTTTTTACCTGAGCCCTTCAAGATGCAAGAAATGACAAGAATCAAATTCTATCAAATTTGGGGGGTTGTAGACACACACTAAGTCATGATAACATTGCATCATGGTAAAGAAGATTTTTTTATTCCTGACATAAATGTTGCTGCTTTTTGAGTAAATGAATGATGAATGAAAGGGACACAGTCTAGATCCTAGATCTGAAAAATCATTTGCATACAAAAGCTAAAGATTTCTGAGACACAGCTGTTGGTTCCAGTTCAAGATGGCAACCCAGGAGGATCCTAAGCTTATTTTCTCTCACTGGCACATAGAACCTACAGCTACATATGGAACAATAAACTCTGAAAAAACCTGAAAACTACTTGAACGACTACTGCACTTCAGAAAGTGAGAATGAAACCTCATGGAAGTGGGTAGGAGAAGCTGAGATATAATCTCACCATAAACCCCACCCCTGGCATGGTGCCACAAAGGGGAGGGAACTCAAAACCTAGAGCTTATCCCTGAGGAGTGAAGGGTTTGAATCCCACAATGAGCGCCCCAACTTTTAAAACCTGAGAGAGGAGTCCCCAAAACGTCTAACTTTGAAAACCAGCCAGGCTCACCTTCACAAGACCCACGAGTTTGTAGCAAATGGAGAATGGCTCTGAAAGAGCTCCCCAGCAACTCTTCCACCCCCAGAGCCCAGCGATTTCATTCTTATGACTTAACTTAGGTAGATATAGCAGACTAACTGCATTATCCCAGACCCAAACGATGTACATAAAAAGTCAATCTTATACTTTTCTCTGCAGACAGCCTTACAAATGCTCTGACGAAGAGAACAAACACAACCTCTAATACACCCCCCCTCCAACATGCCACTTTTGTAGATTAACAATTAAATCTCAGAGTTATGTCTTCTTTTAGAGGCAGGCTCTTTGATGATAAGCACTGTAATCACACCTAAATAAATAGGTGAGAAAACTTGCCTCCTCTAAATAACTAGTTGCAATAAGCTCTAAGATTATTATATCAAAAATGGCTGACTACTGGACATGTGACATTTATCAGAGAGTTCAGTCTTGAACTTTTAGGAAGTTTATTTAAGCAACTGAAATTGAGTTGCTTTTCCCCGGTTTCTTTTACAGAACTTTTCTTAAAATGAATGCTTTTATAACAGATTAATTGAGGTTCTAACTAGTTTAAGTAGAAGTTTTCAGAAAGAAGTAGGCCATCTTTATTATATATTTGCACATTAAATGGCATGTGTGTCTTTTATGTTAGGCACAATGTATGATTAAGACATCTCCCAGTCTCTCAGACCTCAGCCTCCATATATCTTTTAGATTATTGCTCTTAATGTGAGAATCAGTGGAACAAATCTGTTAAAAAACCATAAAATATGGAAAAATTATAGTATTTTTGACTAGATTAAGGAATAATGAATTATAAATAAATGATAAAAATGAAGATAGCTCATTTGTGTCTAAATTATTCTTATTCCAGAATTCTCAAATTTAATCCATTTGTATCCTTTTAAAGAGTTAAATTGAAATATATGTAAGCCAGGGCACCTGGGTGGCTCAGTTGGTTAAGCATCTGCCTTTGGCTCAGGTCATGATCCCAGGGTCCTGGGACTGAGTCCCACGTAGGGCTCCCCCTTAGTGGGGAGCCTGTTTCTCCCTCTGCCTGCCACTCCCCCTGCTTGTGCTCTCTCTCTCCCTCCCTTCCTCCCTCTCTGTCAAATAAATAAATAAAATCGTTCTTAAAAAAAGAAATATATGTAAGTGTATGCAGTTCAGGTGGACTGTACCAGTCACAAGAGGACACTTACATGATAAAAGGTATCCCCAAACGAGAGTAAAACTTCCTTAATCACCAAACACTGCTACTAGATATTATCGAGATGGACTAATTAAAAGTCAGATGGCAAAAGGGTTAATTTTTAAATTCATAATTGGAATTTATTTTCTGCCTGTCGTTTTGCTTGGACTTAAGCCACTAATCTGAGACACTTTGTAGCATGTGTTTTGGTATAGTACCCTGTCTCTTTTTAAACTTTAATCTGTTTCAGTTAATTCAGTTATGAAATTGGGATTTGAACCAGTTCATTACTGAAATACACTGACATTGCTTTTCCCATTTCTAGATTTCATATTACAGTTGATGTGTGTGTGTGCTTGATTCTGTAAGGTTATATCACTGGAAAGCAATTATGCTATTATTGAATAATTATTTGTTGGTTTAGCATTGGTGTTGCTATTGGTGTTAGCATTGATAGACTAATTCTCAGCTTCTCTAATCACTAATTGTAATCTGCTTTTCAAGTCACACACACACACACACACACACACACACACACATATATATGTAATAGGCATTTAATAATAACTAATAGGTATATAAATGAAATGTCTCTATTATTTATACTATAGTATTTTATTTGTTGATGCAGAAGCAAAGCTTGGTCTATGCCTTGTAAACTCACTTATCATCTATGTTCTCTGAACTGCAC